CCCGGCTCCCGGCTCCGCGCCGGGGCCGCACGCAGCAATCCCCATCTCGCGTCGGGCAGGACTGGAAGTTGGGGCGCGCCAGCTCGCCCCCCGCGGGTCCGCGGGGCACGGAGGGCCCCCAGCCGAGCTCCTCCGACCCTTGTTGGCGCCGGCTCCTACCTTCCCTAATCGTGGCGGTGGGAGCGGGCTCCGATCCCGGGCTGGAGGGTGGGTGCCGGCCGAGGCCCGGGCAGCCAGCCGGCGTGCGGAGAGCGCCCTGAGGCGGGGGCCGGGGCGGGACCGGGCGCTGCTATCGGGGCTGGATTTCTCGGCTTCCACCCGGATTCTCCCTCGGCTCCCGGCCGATTCGGTGCTGCTCGGCGACCACGTGACGCGAGCTGCCTTTGACCCCGGTCTCCGAGCGGGTAGGGGGCGGGGGCCGCAGGGGGTGTCAGAGGTGGGACCCACGAGGGCTGGGAGAGACAGCCGGGCATCCCCCAAGGTGGCGACCCGGGAGAAACAAAGCCCTGGGGAAACCAACAAGTTATTCAGGGTCAAAAAGAGAACAGCGCTGGGGGTCGGAGAGGCTTCTCAGAGGAGGAGGAGACAAAGACCCATGCCCACTGCTCCTCACAGGGCTCCAGGAGCTCCAGCCCTGGCCCAAGAGGGGCCCCCAGGCCTAGCTGCCACTGTGTGTGTGACAACCCTCCAGGGTCTTCTTGGCCAGCTCTCTCACCACCAGGTCTCTGCTGGGGTCACCCAGCAGGCCTGTCTGAGCCCGCCCACCACTACCACCACTTTTGCTCTGCCTCTTGAAAACCCCTTTATTTCCTGTATTATGATGAGCTGGTTCTTTTACTGGATTCATCATTTACAAGAAAGTAGTCTCCCCCAACAAGTTGTTCTCAGCTGAATCCTCCTGCCAGGCTAACAGGGGGATGAAGAGGTGGGTGACCTTGTGCAAAAGGCTCCTTCCATTGAACCCCATTCCTATCCCCTGTGTTACTTTAATTATCTCAAAGGCCCTGCGAGTTAGGCAAGAATATAGTGGTGATTTTCCTTAACAGACAAGACAACAAGCCCCAGGGAGAAGAGAGGATTTCTGAGTCTATTAGGTAGCTGCCAGCTAGGCCAGAGCCCTAATATGACTGCTCCAAGCCCAGGGCATTTTGCCATCCATGAGTCAATCTGTAAAACTGGGGGACAAGGGGGTTTCTGACTGAACTTTAAGGAGCTCATTAGCAATGCAGGTCACCAGGACCATCTTCCCCAAAGACAATGATTCTATGAGTATGGGGTAAGGCTGGAGCAAATTTGGAAACAAAATATTGGTGATTTCCTTAGCATCTAACAAGCTCAAGATTAACTACAGAAGCAAAGCTCAAGAAAACATACAAATGACAGGACAGAGCAAAGGGAGACAGACACCAAGCCTGATGCATGAGAACAGGGTAGACTCATCCAGGTTGTCCCAAAGGGTAACTAACCTCCTTGTGCTGGTGGGTAGGGTTTGGACCAGCTCACTTATGTCTGGAGGGAAGAGAGGGTATGAAAATACTGAGGCCTGAATAAGGAGAGATGTGCCTGTGATAGCTTTGAATGTATGCAATCAGATCAGACCCAGCCTAGTGATGGCCACAAGCCCAAGCCCATGTTCAAGGAGAGGCTATGGCTTCCAAGTATATACTCCAGCCACCTCACAGTCTGACCCGGGAGTCAGTATCCATTATTCATCAGCAAATTGTCCTCCATGATCTACATTCCTGTGGTCAGTGATCTAAAGTCCTTGAAAGTAAGCTGGGCTTTGGAAGGCCAAGCAAGCCCCATGAATCTTACTCAATCTTACTCATGCTGATCTCTGCTTTAGAAGACCATGTCCACACATGGAGGCCTCATGAGCATCCTCTCTGTGCTGGGTGTCCTCCTGGTATGGGAGTACAAAGGCCTGCACTCTCAAGTGTCCAGGCCAGTTTGGATCTGGGCTGCATATCCCTCATGTCCAGGGGCTGGCTCAACTTCAGGCCTGCTGGGGGAGGCCCAGGGCAAGTGCTGTGCACACAGTGAAAGAGAAGCCCAGTGAAGGGGTTTTAGGGGGAGGCAACCTATGAACAGGGTCGGGAGGAATGGGGTGAGGGTGGCCAGCACAGGGAGATGAACATTCCCAGCACAAAGAACATGCTGTGCAAAGACCAATGGAAAGCCAAGTGTTTCAAGGGAAGTGGGGATGGGTGAGGAAACATGAAGAAAAGAATGAGAAAAAAAAAAAAAAAAAAACAAAAAACTGGAGGGGAGCAGATTCTGGGTGACCTTGTATGAGGGAACACATGAACCAGACATTATCCTGACAGTCTGGTGAAATGAGTTGGTTGTAAACAGTGATAAGAGCCATACTGTGGGAGGGTGGAGGGGAAGGGAGCCCTCCCTGGTGGAACAACAGGTTAAAGCACAGCACTATGCAACTGTCTGCAGCCACTGCACCCTGAGTTCGATCCCCAGCCAGGGAATTGACCCACATGACGCAGCAGACTTCTGCCTCACCCATTGCTCCCCTCAGCAATGTATCTCAATCTGCCTGTTCTGCTCCCCAACTCTGTCTCTGGTGAATCTGTTAAAGGGCAGGGAGAGAGGGGCACCAGTGAACCCCCAAATCTGCTTGCTCTAAATAGGTTCTGTCATCCGCCGCATCAAGACAAAACAGATAAGACTTTAATGAAAAGGAACTTTAATACAGTGAGTATACAGTACAGAAGACAAAGAATATAATTTCCAAATTAAACACCTGAAGTTACCCATCCCCTCGTGGGCAAAAGTCCACCCAAAAGGGATTGGCCCAAAGCAAGGCCTGAAAGCCCGCTACAAGCCTAAAGCACCTTCTGGCATGACCCATGGAAAAGGGTCAGAAATGGCCAGACAAATCTGGAGGAAAAGAGCACAATCAAAATCAATATAAACACTGCCATAGTCAACCTCCCCATGGGTCTCTCACCGACATCTCTTTCAACTAGCCCAGGGCCAAGAAAAAAAGTTTCTTCACCTGTCTCCCTTTGCTCCATGTGGCTTCCTGAGGTCTCCTGGCTCTCCATCCTGCTTCCTTCTCTTCAGATTCCTTCTTTTCTCTCCTTTTCTCTGCTCAGCTCCACCCTCCTGGGTGGGGCAGGGAATCTGGAACTTTCCCTTTTCCTGGGGACCACCCTGTTACAAATTCTCTCACAAACACACCACCACCCCCACTCCCTACCCCCCCACCCTCACACTTCTGGCCATACCCCATTTCTTATATGCATAAATAAATAAATTTAATTTAGCTTAATTTTACAAAGAGTGTGGGCTTGGATTTGAATCTGACTCTCCACCTTACAAATTGTGTGATCCTGGGCCAGTGTTTCAATCTTTGTGTGCTCAGTTTACTCATCTCTACAGGGGGGAGAATAGTGTGTACTTTTTTTTTTTTTAAAGATTTATTTATTTATTTATACAGAACTGGGGTACAGGCCAGAGATGCGGAGGGTGAGAGGATTCACCAGGGACAGAGTGGGGAGCAGACAGGCAGATGAACGAAGTACACTGCTGAGGGGAGCAGCGGGCGGGTCAGGAGAGGTCTGCCAGCCATGTAGATCTCCTCCGGGGCAGGCGGGGATCGAACTCATGCGGAAGTGGGTTTAGATTCTCAGTGCTGTGCTTTAACCCGCTGCGCCACCAGGGAGGGCCCAATAGTGTGTACTTTATAGGACTTTTGTGAGAACTAAGTGAGTTAGGATTGTAAGCCCTCCGTGTAATCAACACTACATAAATGTTAGCTTAGCCTATCAGTCATTATCCTCTGGGTATCAGGTAAAATTTCATTTTCTCCTGGCACGTTCTTTAGGCCCCTAATCCAGACTTCTCCCCAGATACCACCCTTGTTAGCAGCATGTAGGTTCTGTAGACAACTGCATTTTTCTCATCACACGGTGCCAGGAATGAGGTAGGGAACCAGCGCATCTGTTGCAGACTAAAGATGCTAGAACCATCACCACACAGAACAGGACTTGTGCACCTCAAAAGACCCATCAACGGGGCCCTCCCTGGTGCAACAGGTTAGAGCAGAACACTATGAGGGTATTACCGCCACTGCAGTACAAGTTCGATCTCCGGTTAGGGAACTGACCCACATGGCACAGCAGACCTCCCCTTTCTCGCCCACTGCTCCCCTCAGCAGTGTGCTTCAGTCAGTCTGCCTATTCTTCTCCCCACTAGGTCTCTGGTGAATCCTCTCACCCCCCCACACCTCTGGCCTGTTCTGTATTTATAAATAAACAAAATCTTTAAGAAAAAAAAAAAAGAACCATCAATGACAGTTCATTTATTTATTCACTTGATCTTATTACTATCTTCTCTGGTCCTCGTCATGCCATCCTGGTGGAGGAGAGAAAGTAGAGAGACACATACAAGACGCACATGGTCCCTGTAGTGCAGGGCCATACAGTCTGGAAAACATATGACACAATGATACTGTGATGTTAAAATGGCCCATAACCATTTTGTTTCCCCCAGGTCTTTGGAACAAAGTGAAAAATAACTGAAAACAGATATGGTCACCTACCTTAGCCAACATCCCTAGTTCCCAGCAGGGTGGTCTCGAGAGCAGGCAGTCCTGTCCCAAGAGCATTCAGGCCATTCTGTCTTTCTCTGCCTGGTGATCTCCTACTTGGCCTTCAAGGTCCCACTACAGTAGCACTTCCTCCACGAAGTCTTCCTGCTCCTGCCAGGACTCTACATGGACCCAGTCATGGCTCTGATGATCTTGTGTGAATATAAAGGGATTTTTCAAGGGCAATCCAAATTTCATGTCATTTGCTTCTTTAAAGAAATAATGAGTTTGTAACTACATGTGATTTCATGTTTGGACCACAGTGGAGACAGAAGATAGCTTCTGTCAGACCATGTGACTTGACCTGTGGATTAGAGGGCATGGTCACCATAATTACAGCACTGGCCAGAAGGTATAACAAGTTTCCTCTCTTGCTTTGTCCGCACGCATGTGCACACACAAAACACAGCCCTTGGTAACAAGTCAATCCAGGGAAGGAGAAAAATCTGTGAAATGGGCAGGTTGTCCATGCTTCAGGTGAACAGTGGATATAAGTGTTCTGGAAACCAAGTACAGACAGTCTGGGGTTGGGGATAAAGGCAATTAGCAGCAATTAATTATCTACTCTGCTGATGCCACCTGCTTTCCATTTATTACTCAGCAACCCAGGGGGCACGCAGCTCAGACAGGTGAGGCATCTTCCCTCAGGAGCGATTAGAGATGTTTTCCAATCCAGGCCCACTC